GCTGGCTGTCCCATGTCCCCAAATTCAGGCTGGCTGTGCCGTGTCCCCAAATTCAGGCTGGCTGTCCCATGTCCCCAAACTCAGGCTGGGCATGCTGTGTGTCCCCAGGCACGCTACGTCCAGGCCAAGCTGAGCGTGCACGACCGCTCGCTGAAGGTGGCCACGGTGATCGAGAGCCTGGAGATGGAGATGGAGCTGCTGTGCCTGACGGGCGTGGAGGACCAGCTGCAGACAGACGTCAGGCCCACGCTGGAGACGCTGAGGAACGCTGGCATCAAGGTCTGCCCAGCCCGGGCTGCTCCAGCAGCAGCTCTGGGGACCCCTGGAACGTGTGGCACTGGCCCACGGTGGGGACGTTCAGAGCTGGGGGGCCTTGTGAAATGCAGATGAAAAATGAAACCCTACAATTCCAATAAAGATTTGTAGGGAATGGGTGTGTTTATTCACAGCGCTGTGGGCACAAGTCAGGATTTATTGCTCTTTAATAGACATACGTACCTCTGAGAACTTTCAATTCTTTTTTATTATCTTTACTAATTTCTATATGCATAGAATTTTACAATAGGTTAATGCATATTCATTCTGCTGATTTTATATTATACTCATAGCTAGTTATACTTCTACTTCGTTTTTGTTAGAAAGTATAGAAAGAACTCTTGGGTTACTCTGCTCTGTTTGTTTTAAGGTCTGAGGAGTTTTTCTTATCTCTTATTTTTTAGTGTGGAAATTTGCATTTTTTCTCTTTAGTTTGGGTAGTTTATTTAGGGCTGCAGTTACTAGACTAAACAGCATATTTAGTAAGCTCCAAGTGGCACATTTTACTTAAATGGATTTTTACCCTGTTAAATTTTCACTCCGTCTCATTTGTGGGTGTTTTAAGCATCACTTTGGGAGCAGAATGTGCTGCAGGTAGTAAATCTTAACACCTCTTGTGTTAAGTGTGTCATCTCTTGTGCTTTTCATCCCCTCGCCTGCTCTGGCTCCTCTGGCAGAGAAAGGAATCGTGTGGGCAGGAGGAGGGTCCAACAGGAAATTTTGGGGCAGTTCTCCAGGGAGTAGCACGAAACGGGGCAGGTTGGGCTGTGTTTGCTTTGTGGTGCACGAGCCCCCGTGCTGGGCCTGGAGCTGGGGATATCCAGGTTTTCAGTAGCCACTAGAGGGGAGTCTGAGCCAAGAGAATCAGGGACTGGATTTTTGTTTTTCCAGCTTTTCTGTGACTCCACAGCTACAGCCTGAGCTGTGCTCAGCAGTGAGCAAGCTGCTGTGGTGCCTGTCTAGGTTCTCTCTCTAAAAACTTTGTCAGCCTTGCAAAAGGGGGGAAAAATGTATTAAACATTCAGATTTGGGTAAGAAAAATAGGTGAGAGGTCCTGGTTGTGGTTTCTCTGCTTTAAGCTGCAAAGTGAACAAAAATCTGAAGCAGTGCTGTGAATGCAAAGCAAGGCTGTGTGTCTGGGGCTGAGGTAGGAAATTCAATATTTGGGATAAGCTTCCAAAATGCTTTTTGTTTGGGGCCACCCCTGTAAACAGAGACTTCAGCAGGGAGGTGAGACCAGGGGAACCTGAGCTCCTCAGTGATGCTGTGGCCCTGGCCCAGCACTGCCAGGGCTTTTCCTCTTCCCTTTCTGCTCAGCTTGGCTGGAGCTGGAGTGGAGGTGTGGGATGTGCTGAGCACTCCTTGCACTGCCCTGTTTATCAGGTGAGGAGTGAATCCAGAGTGGAGGGGGGCTTGCAGCTCATGACAGGGACCAGTTAGGATCAAATCTCTTTCCAGCCTTAGGTTATTTGACAAATGAATGAGTCTTTGTGTGTTTGGGGGTTTTTTGTTGTTGTTGTTGATGTTTTGGGATTTTCTTCATGTTTTTGTATTTTTCATTAAATATTCTTGGGCAGTGTCTTGAAAGAATAAAAACACCAGTGGAAAAAACCACCCTCACTGTGATATATTTACACTGGAGAAGGAATTCCCAGCCATTGCTGCTGACATTGCTTTCTAACTCCCTCCCCTCAGCAGCACAAAATAAAAGGAGCAGTGTAGATTTAAAAAAAAAAATAAAAAAATCTAAAAAAAACCCCTGAAGCAAGTGAGTGTGTTCCAGACGTACACATCAGCACTGAGCTAACCCCAGTTGCATCATCCACATTTCAGGCTGGGCCAGGAGGGATCTTTCTGCAGCAGGGCCCGGCTGAGAAATGGCCGGGGAGGGACACATTAACACACAAATACACATTATTTTTTAGCTTGCGTTTTGTGGGTTTATCAGCAGAATCTTGAAATATTGCAGGCGGGAAAAATGTGACACAGAGTTTGTAACTTCGTTTGTGTCTCAGCCTCTTTAAAAGCTTTGCTTTCCTTCACGTGTGAGGATTTTCCTGTGTGTTTCAAAATAGGGGTTTTTTAGAAGAATGATTTGTACGTGTATTTCACCAGTCCTTTTTTAATCCTGAAGAGGCAGGTGCTGTTGCAGAGGTCCTGCAGACGTGGCTGTTGAGCTTTACTTGACACATGGAATGTTTGGATTTTAGGTGTGGATGCTGACAGGGGACAAGCTGGAGACAGCCACGTGTACAGCCAAGAACGCTCATCTGGTGACACGGACACAGGACATCCATATATTCAGACTCGTGAGTTCCACCCACAGCCCCTGTCTCGAGGGGCCAGGCCCTGGGACTGGAGGGCTGGGAGATCCCAGCTGTTTGCCAGCAGGGTATTTTTATTCTTTTGACCCAGCTTTCTACCCGAGTTTCTGTTTCTGTGACTGCGTGCCCTAACCCAGTGTGCTGCCTGTCCTGGCTGTGTCACTGTTGCTCCCTCTGGGATTCTTTGCTGTTTTCTCACGCCAGTGGAGCACACCTTGCTCAGTTCCATCCTCCCCCAGGTGACAAACCGAGGAGAAGCCCACCTGGAGCTGAACGCCTTCCGCCGCAAGCACGACTGTGCCCTGGTCATCTCGGGGGACTCGCTGGAGGTACTGATGCCCTAGGGGTTTGCTCTTATCTTTTCCAGATTCTGCACTGCATTGGTGTATAACCCTGAACTCCATGTAAAGTGTCAGCAGTTCTCACAGCTCAGGCACACAGAAGAATCCTTTTCCAGCCCAGGCACAC